ATGGTGGTTCCTTGACTCAGCACCCAGGTAATGATATTTAAAAACATTGCATATTTTCACAATGAATGTAGTGTACCAGTTAAAACCATGGAACTGGGTTCATAGTGGATTCTTCAACAGTAATAGGTGAAATGCTGGTTTGATATGTTTTATTTTTTTCTGAGAAAATAAAAACTATTTTCAGGCTGCTGCTTTTTGAATGATAAAAAAACAATCATACAGAATTTGTAAAAGTATATTTTCTCTCTTTTCAGGAGGGAACACATATTGTATCATCACAGACACAAGGTCTGTTCGTGTCAACAATTACATAGCGACCTCCTCTTACAATGTTATTCGGCCATCATGGGTCATTACCTGTACTACCAAGTGTTGCCTGGTGCCATGGGGTCCGTTAGATGCCATACATGTCATGGAAAAAGAAAAAACACGCATGCAGGAGTTGTTTGACAAATTTGGTGACAGCTATTATGAGCCCACAGATGAGAAGACACTGAAAAGAGTTATGGAGAACATGAAAAAAGAGGTTTGTGTGGCAGTATTTTGAATGGGTTTATTTACATTTCCGGCATGGATCATAAGAACTTTTCATGACTGGGCACTTGTACTTCCTATGATAAGAGGGCACTCTGCCCTTCTCCATTGAAACCTCTGTGCTTCCTTCTGTTATTCTTATGCTTAGTTTATTTTTATTAATTTATTGGTTAGTTACTGTACTTGCAACACCCATAAATTTTAAACAACCAGTTATATTATTCTGAACTTCTAGTGAACTTCCCATGTTTTAGGCTTGTTTTACAGGTTCAAACTTTAATTGATAGTGTGTCAGAAATATGCAAAGTGCAACTGGAATTATGAAAATCATAATCAGATAGCATAATGTTAAAATGTAGATTTTATACAGTGACAATTATCTGGTTACAGGACTGTATTCCTCTGACAATAGAGGAAATGCGTGAATTTGATGAGGCATTGTGCGAGATAGATGAAACCCGTGCATTGTTCCGTCCAGTCACAGCTGTATTTGTGAGTAATAATTTGAAATATACATGGTACTCATGATAATACAATCTTGCCGTTTATAAAAGTATTTAACACTAATATTGAAGGTTTATGTGATTAGTGATAAGTAAATCCTATGTCATTTATGAAGTCATCATCTTTACAGTGTTCAGTTTATATTTTTTTCTTCTCTATTCTTAGATTGATGGGGAAGGGCAAGAACTAGCCTCCCTTGCACTTAGGCTGCATGGAGGTTTTGTCGAGAGGAGTTCGTCTGGGGTGACACATATTGTTGTGTCGGACAAGTAAGTTCTGTAAAAATGGATTTTTATTTTTTTGTTTAGATGGGAATAACATATCAGTTTCTGTTTTTTTTTTAATTAGAATATTGGTCAATGAAGTTGAAAGTGCAGTTGATGTAGTATTTATTAATTAGGTGTTTTCCCTTCTTTTTTCTAGTTCCATTAGACAGATGTACATTAAAAATATCAAAAATAAAAAAAATAGGTGATTAGATGTGTCTGTACTGAGTGATACATTAGATAATAAATTTCTTGACAGGATGGGAAGTAACTGCAATTTACGGCCAAGTGAGTACCAGGGACAGCATCTAGTTACATCAAAGTGGGTGTATGACTGCATCGAAAAATGCAAACTTTTGGAGGAGCGCTATTATATGCCATGAACTGATACTGGTGTTGTCACAAACCTTAACCTTCTGGCTGAGAAATATTCCACAGAATGTCCATTTGCTTGTCTAAAACTGAAGGTCAGAAGGTCATCACTAAGGGATTTGCTGTAAGTTGCTATTGTAAGATTGAGTTTTATAAAATAAAAATTGTTAGTATATGAAAGTAGACATCAACAAGTAGGTTTTTCTACAGTGGTTGTAAGTTACTGATTTACAATGGCAGGCTGTTAGACTTTTGAATAATTGCATGTGATTTACTCTGCTAAAGGTTTTAAAGAAAAGGGATAATGCATTCAAATTCACCTTCACTAGGACTGATTATTACAGTATCTGATTCTGGTGGTAATTTTTTTCAGTTTTATATAAATGAAATACTTTTTGAACATTTTAATATTTTATTACTACTAACACTATTTTTTTTTTTTTTGAAGTATCATAACCATCAAAAGAAGCAAATATATAGATTTATTTTATGAATCTGTGATTGTTAGATAAATAAACTGTGATATAACTTAATTTTATGAAATTTTATTTATCTATACTCCTCCTTAGCATTATATTAAGTGGGTAACCCAATAACTGCAACCTATGTACTTACAAAGTGACTGAAATATAACAGGCCCTGAAGCTCAGTCATTTAGCACAATTTCTGCATATTCATTTTTTCACCTTTTGTAACACAAAACATTTTCTGATGCTTTAATTTTTTATAATGAATGAAACTCTGGATGGCAGTATGTGAGAAATAATGTAGTGATACTACCATCTCTAAAGAAAAGCATTTTGGTAACATTACGTTATATTCAAACTGAATACTTCTTACATCCATCACACTTTCCACAAAACACTTTTAAGATTTAAATTCATATTAGTGTATATTATGAGATCCATCTAGTACATAATAAAAGTTGAACAGAATTCATTTGGAAAGAAGAATGATGTAACTAAAATGTACCAAATACCAAATAAATCTCTTAACAACTCTTACCTTTCTCTGCATAATAAAAAAAAAAAAACTTAAATACAAATACTTGTTAGCTGAGTGTCTGCATAACTTTCACCTTTGATAAGACAAAAGCCGCTAAAATTTCTCTTGATCAGAATTAGCATCGTTTCTATTTGTGAATTCATATTCAAGTTGAGGACTTGAAGGACAATCTTGGAAAAGTGCTTCGCATGTTTAGAGATTGTTTGCGTATGTCTTCGAAATTTAGAAGACAAGGAAATGTTACTGGAAAATGAAAACAATATATTGGTATATATTTTAATAAAATAGATACATGTACGACAGCGACCCGTTATCATACACAGGGAGATGTTAAGAAACATCCTAACACAATAGTATCATCAATCAGATTTTTTATCTATTTATTATTTTTTTCCAGCTCAACTTGGGGAAAAAAGTAAATACTTTTGCGAAACAATTTTAAAAGATAATTATTCACTAAATACGACAAACCAGTAACAATAATCTGACCAACAGACTAATCGACTAATCCTGTAAAAACATAGATACAGGAAGGGGGAAAAAAAACAAACCCACTAACAGGTGTGAAAGGCAATAATACAAGTAATAGATAAAGATAAATCATTGACAGATATACTTATATTAATTATATTATATAAAGATGCTTCTCAAGTTTTTGCCAGATATTGTTAAACTCAAGTCTAGAATTGTATGATGATTTCTATAAACAAATTAATGTTCTATAGTATTACAAATTACAGGATATTTACAGTTAACATATAGGAAATTGAATTCAGGTTTCATAGAAGTAAACACTTGGTAAGCAAAATATATCATGCTTAAAATAGTAATATATACACTGAACTACAGAAACAAAAAGTATGGAAAATATTACCAATTTCCAGCCAGATTAAGATGATTTTCTTAACTACTGTAAATAACAGAATAGCAGCAACAAGAATACCATTCTCAACCTGGTGTGCAATAACAGTCACTTTCAGTAAGTCTAGAGCAACATATCAGGGAGCAAAAAATCTAACTTAAACCTAAAAGTTGGTGTAGATGACTAAAATAATTTGTACTTGTAACACATTCCAAAATCTTTCAAAATGGTAAAAAAAGAAAGAAAAAAAAAAGCAAACACATATCTTCTTCATTCTGAAACTTTATAAACATACTGATAAAGAGTCTGATTTATCATGGAACACAAAGGATATCACTGAATGGAACAATCGCATTTCTTGTCTCTATTCAACGCGAATGTTTAGATAATCAGCTTCCAAACTGTATAACATTTGTGTCTTAATGCATATACTAGAAAGCAGTCTTTTAAGGCCAAGGCAGTTTTAAATACCTGCAGTTTGGACTTTCTGGCAAAAGTTTGGTTTGGCTAATAATTATTTTTTCTTTTATAAATAATGGTAAAATGGTGAGTCATAAACAGATAAACATCACTTAGGTTACATTTATGACACCAATAATAATAAATTATGATAATAATGATAATGATAACAGTAATAACAACAATACAATAATAATAAAAAAATGACAATAATAGCAGTAATAATAACAATATAATGATAATGATAATGTTACTGAAACTAAAATGATAATGATGATAAAAGTAAAAATAAAAATAACAACAACAATAACCAATAATAATAATCAAAATGATAGAGATAACAACATTAGTAGCAATAAGTCATAACAATTAAAAAAAGGATAAATGATATGTGATAACGTTGATAGCAGTAAGTAATAACAATAAAAAAAAAAAAGAAAAAAGACTAATACTCTTATGTACCCTGCTGTATTTAAACTCATCTTACTTGCTTCCCACAATTCTCCTGCAAAAAAGAAAAGGAAAATAATAATATTAGTAATATATGGGGCAACGAAGACAATAGTTCCATTTGAAATAAAGCCAAGTTATAAGGTTTCATAAATTGTATCAACGAGGGAAACTGAGGATAGAAAAAAGGGGAGCAAGAAAATAGAAAAACAATGTAAAATTAGGAGATAATATGATAAAGACAAAAAAGAACGCAGAAAGAAAGAAAAAAAAAAAAAAAGAAAAAAGACTAATACTCTTATGTACCCTGCTGTATTTAAACTCATCTTACTTGCTTCCCACAATTCTCCTGCAAAAAAGAAAAGGAAAATAATAATATTAGTAATATATGGGCAACGAAGACAATAGTTCCATTTGAAATAAAGCCAAGTTATAAGGTTTCATAAATTGTATCAACGAGGGAAACTGAGGATAGAAAAAAGGGGAGCAAGAAAATAGAAAAACAATGTAAAATTAGGAGATAATATGATAAAGACAAAAAAGAACACAGAAAGAAAGAAAAAAAAAAAAAAAGAAAAAAGACTAATACTCTTATGTACCCTGCTGTATTTAAACTCATCTTACTTGCTTCCCACAATTCTCCTGCAAAAAGAAAAGGAAAATAATAATATTAGTAATATATGGGGCAACGAAGACAATAGTTCCATTTGAAATAAAGCCAAGTTATAAGGTTTCATAAATTGTATCAACGAGGGAAACTGAGGATAGAAAAAAGGGGAGCAAGAAAATAGAAAAACAATGTAAAATTAGGAGATAATATGATAAAGACAAAAAAGAACACAGAAAGAAAGAAAAAAAAATCCAGGCTTTGCTCAAATACATGAAACTTGACACAGAAGACAAGCAAATTAAAGAAAAGAAAGAAGAAGAAGGAGATAAGTACCAAGGAACAAAAACAAGAAGAAAAAAAGTATGCAAAGGAAAAGAATAAACACATTAAAACTTCATTACCTATATCTATAGCTGTTTCTTCCTAAACACAGTAGTTTGTTGCTCAATGGCATTTGTGGCTTGCCTCTTGCTAGCGTTGTACAGGGTAGCAATAGGTATGTTGAAGGCTTTGGCTGCGGGCTTGATGCCAAGGTGACCATCATGTACCAAGTTCAGTGCTGTCTGTTTGGGAAAAGTTGATAAGGACACTTAGAAAAAGTGGTTGGATTCTACATAATTCTATCTTATATTGTATAAGCATTGTTGTGATTAATCTGCTTTGTGTCTTCAATGTTTTGTTATTACCACTTGGTCACATATTTTAGAAAATATATCTCATTCAATAGGAACAGCAGCTTATTGTGGCACCTTGTAAAAATGTCTGGTTTATTTTTTTCTTCTTTGACAATGTCAATAATTATAATAATGATAAAAAGAAAACATTCACCATACTTGTGCCAATACCTATAAGGCAAGCAGTTCCAAGGCAATTTTAAACAGCAATTGGATGCAGTCCTACTATTTTTTTTAGGGGGACAAAGCAATGCCAATGCTAATAATCATATTATAAAAAGGAAACAATTACATAACATAAACACACAAACTAAAATGCACACTTACAACAAGATCCTGTTTGGCAAATTTCCGTGCCCTTCGAGGTGGTTCTGGTCGTGTAGAACGTGATGTGGAAGCCTCAAGTGAAGAGCTGGCTGTAGTGTAAATGCGATTTTGTGACTCGCCTTCCGTCAAGCCAAGCAATATCATACCTTCGTCATCCTAGAAGAAAATATTTGTTATTTCTGTAATCCTGAAATCTAGAGACCTGCAATTTTAAAAATCACAACTACAAGACAAAGACAACCACAATAGTGTCAAAAACAATTATAGGATCATCCTGTTTAGCAAATCCTGTGTGACAAGAGCTTTTGTTTCCATTCTTATGATAGCTGTATTTCACTATAAGAATTTTTAGTTGTTACAGATACATCATCTATTCAAAATTGATAGATATAAAATACAAATAATCCTCTTATTAATGTCCATTATAAAGGAATGAGAATTCACAGAAGCCTACTAGTGCTATCCCCATTACTGCCATCGTGAAGGACCATCTACTGCATAACCAGAACATGTCGAAACTGTTCATGCTTCTATTTACTGTGCTGCAACTTCCATGCAAGTTGTAAAATTTTCTAAACAAGTCACAAAAGGAAAATAAGACCTTTTTAGCAACCAATCAGAAAACCAGTAGGGAGGGAGGGGGACCAGGCTGTGGAGTCAAGAGTCGGAAGGAATTGGGAGTTGTTGGAGTTGAAGTCTGTATAAATGTCCTGACTCTGATTCCGATCTCAACATAAATTGCAAAAATCCCACTTGTTAAACATATGGTACACTTTATTTCACTTCATTTTCACTTTCCTATAGTCTTATATGTATTTTTCAGAGCAAAATGATTTTTTTTTTTGAGAATATACAATTAAAGGTCACAATAGCATGGCTCTAAACATTTGACTCAAACTTTTAAGAAGATGGGTTAAAAGGTAGCCTGCAGTCATGAAATCCATTTCTAAAAAAATGATTATACCTAGGGATCAGAGTCGGAGTCAGATACACAAGAAATCAAGGAGATGGAGTTGGAGTCAGGTGTTTTGAGTACCAACCCCATAGCCTTGGTAGGGACTGTAAACAACATGCAATCTGGTTTGTATTCTTAGGATAGACTAACAGATTTTAGATTGTACTATATAGCTTTTTCGACTTATGGCTGCAAGAATGAAACCAATAGAAAGGAAGAATTTTCAGCTACAATGTGTCCTCTTGGTAAAGAAATCAGATATTGTACACAATACTGGGTTCAGGAAAGAAAGGTAGACTATTCCCCCTTTATACAAACCCTTAACTATCACTGTAGGACTATTGAAGAAAATACAATTTGAAGGCCGCCCATTTCTCAAACTGCAAGTTACAGACTGGGAAGATACTCTATTAACAGCGGTTGTTTTAATCTTACTATTGCAGCCTGGGAGGTTACAGCATGCTGAGCAGTTCTTATATCTAACATGGCTGAGGCAGTGAGCTGAGTGCCAGTTATGTCTAACATGGCTGTAGCGTCATGCTGGGAAGCGCCTAAATCTAACACGGCAGAAGAGGTAATTAGGCTGGCCACATTCTCTGCCCCTACATCACCAGTCCTCTGAGTCACCTTGACAGCCTGGGCCAAAGGGTCTTCACCGACAATGCTTACAGCCTGGTTGGGGCTTTGCTCGTCATCGTCCCCCTCATGCATCTCCATGGCCTCTTGGTGGATGATGACCTCTTCCTGCATGGGGATGAAGTGGGAAACGTTGTTGTCGTCATCCTCTTGCTGTTGAAGATCCACGTCTTGATCCTCCGAGTCACTTTCGCCTGTGCCTGTTTCCAGCTTGATCTGAACTCTCTTGAGTTGCTGAACTTCGTCCTGTTGTGACATACTACTTCGGTGGCTGCTGTCCAGGTCCACGTCCTCACACACCGCCATAAGCTCATAAGTCTGGGCATTTCTTTTTCTTTGTCCTGCAAGGTGAATATTGGTAATGCTGTGAGCAACATATTCCATATTAAAAACACTCAAACAAGTTCTGTTGACAAATTATGGAATGTGATCATATTACAGCAACACTGACAAAATACATGTAATTTAAAACTGTATAAATAAAATAAAACTGAGAGGCTCTCCCACCTGAATGATCCAATCTGTGGTCTTCCTCCTCCTCATCAAGGTCATCCTCATCCTCATCCTCCAAATCTGGGTCGTAGAAAGTGAGATCCTGCTTTGTGGCCCCAGTGGCTGTCATGTGGTGCTCCTGGTCTAGGCCTGCCCTTGAATCGTCCATCCATGAGTCAGACAGTCCCACTTGACTTAGGCCTGAACAGATGTGGCTGCTTAGTTGTTAAGGTCATTTAGCATCTTTTGAACTTTGAATACAGTGACATAATTTGGGTGATTTTAATCTAAAACTTGGACAAAATTATTATTTATCACTGAAAGCTAAAATCAACTATTATTACTATTATTATATTTATCTATTATTATTGTTTTTTTGCTAAATTTAATTTGAGTTTCTTACCTAGACTCTATGGGCCAAAAAAATTGAAATTATCATAAGAGTGAACATTTTTTCATATGTACTGAACCTAAATTCAAGCTTTTTATAAACAGTAAGTATACTTCAAGTGTTACAGAACGTGTAACCTCAGGTGACAACAATGTTGTCATAAAAATCATAGGATCAGATTTTTTTCACGATCCTCTTAATTCAAGTCCAGAACAAGATACAATTTTACTCAACAATATATCTGAAACAGTTTTGTTTGGAAACAAATCCAAAATGGTCTTGCAACTGTTGCAAGGCATGATTCCATACTCACATCCAAAACAATAGACCTTGTTGAGCTACAGTACCACATCAAAGTATCTGAAAAGTCACTCAGTAGTTGACCAACAATCCAAATTTGTTTTACAAATGTTGGAAGGTTTTAAGACATGTGATTGGGTGTTTCCCACTGGATATGGAAAACATGACACAAAGTTGGGGCAAAGTGATTCATCATCATCTGGTCATTGGGCAATTGCCTGCTGGCTTCTGCTGGGTTGTGAAGTTTGAGAAATAGTTTGAAATCGAATACTGAAAAATCTGTGTGGCTTGAAATTTATGGAATCTGCATTATACTGACACATGGAATTGTAAATACTGCAGACTAGTCACTGCATATTTAATAAAGCATTAATGGGCTGCATAATAGGCTATTATATTATATTTTTGACAGCAGTGAACTATGCGAGTCGATACAGCTGCATGATAAACTATTAATAGTTTTTATTTAGCTATGCAAGTTGTAGCAGCTTCATGATTCCCCCTTCCCTCACAAGACTGCTGTGTATATTGTTACTTCATGCAGGTATTTTTAACAGGTTCAAAAATGTAGACTGCAGAAAAGATACTTGGACTGACTGAGGTCATTCCACTCCCAATTTGTGGGAGGTCAAAAGATGCAAAACAAATCAGATATAAAGTGGTGCCAGTGTGTCCTGCGTGTCATGCAATAGTCACTGCATAAAGTCACTTGTGTTTCGTAACAGTTCCTAAACTGTGTAGCAACAAATTTGGAATGCTGCTCAGTTTTCGAGCAACTATATCAGGACAATACTGATATATTGTTGCACAAGTGTTTTGAACAATGTACCTTGGTTTGGACTAAGCTTTAGGCTTCATAAAAATGTGAAAGACTTTATACTTTCACACACATTAAGGAAACATTAAGGAAGAAGGTTAAGGAAACTGCCTGTAACAGGCACACCTTTTTACTACATACCTCTAATCTTCAATTGTGCAGCTGCTTTGAGAAGGCCTGGAAGCTCATGTGATTTGACCAGAGTCTCTCCTTTATACATGTAATTGAGAATGCCACGAAGTTCCTGGATTGTGATGTCTCTTAGAACTACCACAGGATTAGCATGGGTTACTGTCTTGAATAGTTCTTCAAAGCTATCGCTGCAAAGAGTATCACAGTGTTATATTTACATATCGTATATAATACAAATATATATAATGCATATACATACACACACACACATGTATATCTATATCTATATCTATCTATATATATATTTATATATCAAACACACACACACACACACATATATACATACATACATACATACATACATATATATATATATATATATATATATATATATATATATATATATATATATATATATATATATATATATATATGTATATGCTGTATATATGTATATGCTGTATATATGTATATGCTGTATATATGTATATGCTGTATATACTGTATATGCTGTATATACTGTATATGCTGTATATACTGTATATGCTGTATATACTGTATATATGTATATACTGTATATATGTATATACTGTATATATGTATATACTGTATATATGTATATGTATATAATGTATGTATATATATATATATGTATATCATATACAAAATATATTGTATATATACAATATATATCATATATACACAATATGTTTTGTATATATACAATATATTTTTTATATATACAATATATTTTGTAAATATATAAGATATTTTGTAAATGTACAAGATATTTTGTAAATGTACAAGATATACTGTATATGTACAAGATATATTGTATATGTACAAGGTATATTGTATATATACAAGATATATTGTATATGTACAAGGTATATTGTATATATACAAGGTATATTGTATATATACAAGGTATATTGTATATATACAAGATATATTGTATATATACAAGATATATTATATATATACAAGATATATTGTATATATACAAGATATATTGTATTTACACAATATATACAATATATATATATATATATATATATATATATATATATATATATATATATATATATATATATATATATTATATTGTATATATTGTATATTATATTAAGATATTGTATATACAAGATATATTATATATATACAAGATATATTGTATATATACAAGATATATTGTATTTACACAATATATACAATATATATATATATATATATATATATATATATATATATATATATATATATATATATATATATATATATTATATTGTATATATTGTATATATTGTATATATGAATATACTGTATATATGAATATACTGTATCTATGAATATACTGTATATATGAATATACTGTATATATGTATATACTGTATATACGTATATACTGTATATATGCACATACTGCATATATATATATACACACACACAGATATATATATAAAATTTTCTCCTCCCCATTGTATAGAATCCCAAATTCTTAACTGCCTTCTAAAATTTAGAAGGCAAGGCAGAAGGCAAGGCAAACAACCCCTTGGATCTGGATGTTATCACCACTGGGCATGAAAAAAGCAAGCTAAGGGCTGGGCAACATGAATATACCATCATGAAAAAAACTAGCTGAGGGTCAGGGTGACGGAAATATAACGTCACGAGAATTCCGGTTGAAGGCTGGGGTGTCAGGGGGGCACAAAGTTCTTGGAGGGTCATTAAAACTATGAGCATTTAGGAAGGGGATCTCTCATCATTTCCACTGGTAAAAGTATGTGGAATTTACAATCTGTGAGCCATGCTTGGAAGGGTGTATAGATGCACTGAGGACACTATCCTATTACAAAAATACAAAAGAATGACAAACAAAATGCAATTTGTTATTGTTATTGCAGAGATTATAGATTACCCAGAGATATGATAAAGAGCCTGTGCAAGGAAACCACTATTAGCATATTAAGTGACAAATACAGACCTTGGAAAAAGAAAAAAAGAAAGAAAAAGAAAAGAAATAAGAAAAAAGAGGAAAAGCTTAAAAAAAAAAAAAAAAGAACATAAGAAAGAAAGAAAGAAAGAAAGAAAGAAAGAAAGAGCTTACAGAGAAAAAAGAGAAAATAACACTGCAAAGGGAGGTATGGAGTCTTGACACTGGGCCTATAAGCCACACACCTGAGAGTGCCACTCAAGTAAGCCCAATGCCCGAATTTGAGGCGCCCAAACCCAATGGTCTAAGGGCACAGACCTACCTGCAAGTAGCCAGAACCAATCGATGGGCTTGAACAAACTGGCCATCTGCCATGAGGGTGCAGTCTGTGAGCTGGTTGTGCTGCAACAAGCGTTCACACACTGCCAGGAAGCGCGATTCTGTGTTACTTGCCTTTAAGTGAAGGCGATTGCATTTCCTGTTTCTGTAGGCATTGAGAAAATATTTATCAGTAGGTAAATACTGAAACAGGAGATAAAAAGCAACAAGAAATAGGCATTCACAGAATATTCTTTGTTAATTTTTCCTAATCTGTCACTGCTCCTACTTTTTAGCAACACTTAAAAAATGTAAAACTATAAAACTCAAACTGAAAGAAAGTATGATTTCCTTACCCATCACCTTGCAGCTCCCCAAGCTTGAGCTGTGGGTGCTTCCCTCGCAAGTGGCGCAGCATCGAGGATGTGTTTCCGTGCTTGGCCAACTTTTCTTGGCAGATGCGGCAGCTGACCTTATCAGTGCCCTCCTCTGCAAAATGCCTCCAAACTGTAGACCTTTTCTTTTTCAAACCTGTGAGGAAAATGATTTTTGGCATTACTGGACTGATGTTGCTGCAGTATGAGACTTGGAAATGACCACAAGAAAAGAAAGAATACAAAAAAAAAAAAAAAAAAAAAAGTGAGAGAAAAAAAGAGGAAGAAAGAAGAAAAAATTGTTGATCACAGTGAAAATCTAACAAACATCTATATCATCAAGATCATTCACATCAGATAACAAATTATAATATATACCACCCACACTTTACTTCTAAATTTTAAAACTGTCATGCGTGTAATGATGCTTAAAATGATTTATCTAAATCAGACCTATTAACCCAATGCCACTGGGGAAAATGCTGTGCTCATTTTTAAAATTTATTTATTTATTTATTTATTTTTTTTTGTGAAAGGTTTTTGTACATAGATGGCTCTGCTAGTGCTTAGCCCCAAAAGCTTCAATTAGTAGACCTTGTGACCTTACCAGATTTCACCTTTCCTTGAATTGGTGGGCAAAAAGTAAATTTTTTTACTAATGCTATGAAAATCAATGGTGTTATTTTTATCATAGACATTTTAATTACTGTAATGTTATAAACATTAGTAACAGCAAAATAAGGTAACAAAATATTTTTGTAATTCAAGGAAAAGGGTAAACGGCCGAGACCAGGCAGTACTCATAATTGGCTCATTGCTGACTAAGTACCAGTGTAGCTATCTATGTAAAAAAACAATTAATAAAGTAAACTCACAGTGTGCATGGCATGTATGTCGGCATTGGGTTAATGTTCTTCTTGGCCTCTTTTCCCTTACAATGGTCATTTTAATACTCCCCCCCACCCCTTTACCTTGGCCCTCAAAGATGGGGATGGCTTCAACCACTTCCTCCACAGGCTGCTCTTCTATTTGCCATGAAACGCCCTCTCCCGTTGCTGTTGATCCATCGGCTTCCAGCAGGCAGTGTGTCAGTTCAGGGTGCTTGCCTCGTAGATGACGCAGCATCATGGAGGTGTTTCCGTGCTTGGTAAGGTGCTTGTGGCAAGTACGACACATCACCTTGTTTTCCCCAACCTCTTGGAAATGCCTCCACACAGCTGACCTCTTCTTCTGCATTGTTGCTGAAAGGGGGGAGATAAGATTTGTTATGATGCAAACTCTCTCTCACTTTCACTCACTCACCCGCTCTCTCTCACACTTACAAAATTCATTCATCCAATTTGGAAAAGATATGGACAAGTGCTCAGTAGCAGGTGATGTGGCTCTCTCCCCAAGTGCACAGAGTAGGGAGATTGGATTGCATTATTTCCACCAGTAAATGACAGTGGAATGTACCCTCTATAAGCCATGCCTGGAAGAGCACCAGCTCCAAATTAAAATAAAGAAAAATAACAAATGTAACACCATTTCACTTATTGTTATTGTTACTGCACTATCTGCAGATATAATATGGAGCCTGTACAACAATGACAGTCTAATCCCATCTTTATACGGCATAACAAATAAAAAATAGACATCAGAAAATGGCAAAATGGTATGAAGGATAAAATCTAACAGCATACCAAAGAGGAAAAAGTCTTGACATTAAATATAAGTGTTTGCATGGGATGTCCCAAGAGGACACACTCGGGGCAGGCATTATTCATGTAAGCCTAATGATGGATTTTGGTCTATGTTAATAGCCTCTGATTTCACTTACAGAAAAATGGCTACATTATAAGGCAGGTCCAGAGGAAAACTGAGAATCTGTTTAACTTCTTTATTCAGAAGGTACAGACACTTCTCATTGGTAGAGTTGAAGGTTCACAGAAAAGCCATGGTGATGGCTAGGTCAAGCAAACTATGGGGGGAAATGGTAAAATGTGAGGTTGTCACGAGCTAAGCATAATCTGGGCTTGAACAGGCCATCTTGCATCATTGGGTCACAAACTTTGGTCAAGATAGCACTGCCTCAAGATATACTAGTACCATGGCCTAGGGACATTAGTCTCTGTGCTGGTCTGTGTCAGCACTGGTCATGGCAACAGATGCCATTTTGGACACAATGGCTTTGCAGACAATTATGCTTTTTCCACTGCAGCATGGCTGAGCCATGAGGCACCCAGATCCAATGAGTTAACCTGAAGTTAGCTGTGATCTGTGATGTTTAGCCTAGAATCTAAATTCCAACATGTAGTGATGGTAGCCTCCATGCTCCAAGTAAATAGCTTGAACTGGTTTCTTCATTTGAGGGGAAACAGCCAAGTTGGCCTACAATTTTTTTATTTGTCAAAATGTAAGAGGTGGAGTGCTTAAGTGATTGAAAGATACACAGAGATAGAGACAGATAATAGCTAGACAGAGAAAATGAGAGGAGCAAAGGAACCCGAGCTAGTGAGAAGAGATTCTTCTTCTTCTTCTTTGCCTTTCGGCGTGTTCCCTTCGGCACCTATGTGGAAGCTTTTCCACTTGGCTTGGAAGGGATTCAAT